TGGTTTCGAGCTAGGGATCATTACTTTTAGCAAAAAAGGCCGGTAACTGTATATGTATTTTGGAAATACTTCTCCCAACTGTTAAAGAGTTAATCAGTTTCTGTTTCGATTCAGTCTCTTAGGGCAAGCAAATATAACTTTGGACATGTTGAAAGATATATACTTGGGGTTGATTTATACGGGCCGGTGGCACGGAATAACAGTTTTCTTCTGATAATTAGCAATTGTAACATATCATGAACAAGAAAGAAAAGTGACCTAGGGTTCTTGTGTGAGATCAAAGGTAGTAGAATGATTTGATATCAAGTTTATTAAATCTCACATTATTAGTCCCAAGCTAAAGTACTCTAGTTTTGAGCAGAAAGAAATCTAGTCACTTGGTCAAAATACAAATTTAGATATACACTTTCCCCAACTCTTCTTAAGAGATCATAGAGGTTCAAACTTCAAAGTTATAAAAAGAAAACAAAACAATACATTTTCTTCATTATCTGATATCAAAATTTGACCCCATTCATGTTTATTTTTCAACATTTGGTTGTTCTCTATGGACGATTTGAACGCTCCTTGTCAATACGAGGAGCAAGATTTGGAGGTTGTTGACGACGGAGTATAGGTTGCAAACACTTGTGGCTTGGAATGGTCGCAAATCCAGTATACATAGTTGAATCTCACATGGGGCTAGCTTAACAAAGTCTCGGTTTGATAAGATTTCGATCACTGGTAGACACTTCGGGTTCATGTCTTCAATGGTTTCAATCCCAAAGAATGCTCTCAAGTCTTGCCTCGTTCTTTGTCTCTTTCCCTATCCCTACAGCGATCCTGACCATGCCTGTGTTCCCTTTCATAGGGTCTGGCATTTCTCTCAATCCAGATCATAATCGACATTTCTGCTAATCACAGAACAATGGTCCAAGTTTATAACATCAAGAAACAATGAAGGGCGAAACCTCAAATAATAATGACAATCTGTAAATCTCAAGGTAAACTATTATCAGATTCTATGATCCATCTATACAGAGAAATCTGGCAGGATCTTCTCCACAATTTCAATTTTGTAGGCTGTTGCAGCCACCAATGGCGTGAGATGCCATGGGAGAAACCTGACATTCACACAAGAGATAGCTAGACATAATGATGCACAAGCATTAATCAAACACAACAGCTTCCAACATCACAAGCAACAACAAAAAACCCGCAAATGGACATTAGCAGAACACTACAATATAGCTACAATGTATTAGCAACGTTGATACCTGTATTAATAATGGCCGCATCTCCTGTCTCTCTCACTTTGTCTTTTAAGAACTCCATGGTGATAATCCTGTTAAAGAGGAGGATGATCGTATAAGCATAGAAACAGAAAACAGAACAAATACAAACTATTGCAGGAACCTCATTTAATCAGCTAACTTAGTAAACAAAATACCAAGAGAGTAAAACGTGCGGGTAACAATAAATTAGCTTAAGGCACATGAATCTAACACCAATAGAATAAAACAAGCGAATATCAAACCTTTATAGGCTGATCGAGAACAGTGTTGTCACCAGTAGTCGTTGCAAGAACAAAGACCACCTGCAAAGTGATGGAACCGAACTCTATCCCTTACAATAATTTCCCGATTGAATGCTTTCGATACACATTTTGTAAACGAATGACAATCTCTGCAAACTCTAAGATTCTTTGTAATCCGGAGAATTGTTCCAGCAGGAGTTCTCATCAATCCATATGCAATGGCCAATTTTTCACTATGAAATGCAGATCCTAAACACCGATCAGAGAGAGATTGACCAGTTACGTTTGAGTCCTCTGGGTTGTAGCCAGCTAGTATGGCGCGACGGACTACTTCTTGCAGTTCTGAGTAAATAAGTGCAGACTCCGAGTGCATTTTGTCATCAACCACAAATTTGTGAACTTGATCACCAATCTCAATCCAGCTCCATCCTGGGGTTGTCTGTAGATCATGGCTTTTTATCAGCTTCCTCATGCTAGCAAAACCTTGAGCATCATTCGCTGCAGAATATATCGAAGTCATAAGCACGTAATCCCCTGCATTAAAAGCCTCGAGCTGCACCAATTTCTTTATGGCTACTTCTCCTAATTCCAGATTCCTGTGGATTTTGCAAGAGCCAAGCAGGGTTCTCCACAATACAGGATCTTCATGGCAGGAAGACATGTGTATCATCTCGAGCGCCTTATCGAGCTGACCTGCTCGTCCATAAAGATCCACCATGCATCCATAGTGTTTAATGTTGGGGCTCAGACGGAACTGCGAACTCATCAGCTGGAAATGCTCAACTCCTTCTTTGACTAGACCTTGATGACTGCAACCTAACAACAATCCGAGGAACGTGATGGCATTGGGTCTAACCCCGGAAGTCACCATCTTTCTGAAGAACGAGATGGCCTCGACACCGTGCCCGTGAACTCCATACCCAATAATCATCGAATTCCAAGTTAAAACATCTCTCTTGCGCATTCCATTGAAAACACTAACAGCATTTTGAAGACTACCACATTTTGCATACATATCAATAAGAGCATTGCTCACAAAGAGACTTCCCTCACATTGAATCTCACAGGCTAACCTGTGTAGCATAACACCCATATTCAAAGCGCTAACATGAGCACAAGAAGATAACAGAGCAACGAGCGTGTAACCATCGATGCACACACCTTCATTTACCATTCGCTTGTGCATACCCAACGCTTGATGGTGTAAACCAGCATGAGAAAGGCAAGAAATCATGGCGTTCCAAGAAACCAAGTCTCTCACAGGCATTTCGTCGAACACTTTGTAAGCAATGTCTATCATTCCATTAGCAGAGTAACAACGAACGAGACTTGTGGAAACAATAGCATCTGAAAGAAACCCAGATCGTATAATCGAACCGTGAAGCTCCAAACACTTCGGAATCGAACAAAGCTTCTCACTTGCTTTGAGAGCGAAACTGAAAGTGAAGATATCGGGTCGTGAAACAGAGGAGAGAAGCATTCGATCGTAGAAGAGAAGGGAAGAGAGAGGAGAAGAAGATACGGAGAAGCCACGGACAAGTGAGTTCCAAGCCGAAGTTGATGGGTCGGAATCGAATTGTTCGAAGAGGAGAAGAGCGTAAGATAAGTTTCCGGTGACGGAGACGGCGCAGAAGCGGAGGAGATTGTTGAAGATTGAAGGATGATGTTGAAGACCATTGATGATGACATGAGAATGGATCTTACGAAGCTTGCTCATACTGTTGCAGCCTTGTAGCATTCTCACTATCACTCTCGCTTTCTCGCACATGGTTTCTCTTTGTTATTAAGTCTTTCAAACTTGCTTTCTGCATGCAATTCTTCCATTTAATAAAAACTAGATGACCGACGGGTGTGAATTTTTTTTTTAAAATAAGTTAGTATTAATGTTTACTAATGTGATTTTATTATTTATATAAAATTAAATATATAGTTATTAGTTTATATGCAACTAATGAAATAATATGTATTAAAAAAA